CCCAGGGCATCCAATATGTAGGTGACTTTGTTTCTTCAGTAGAACACAAACGAAGATTTTTAACTCAAACCGTTGCAGTCTGTCAGTCATATAATGGAAGTGAATGGGAATCACGGCACCATTGACACTCTAGCTACAATCTCAATTACGAGTGTCAATGGTGCATTTGAGAGATAGGTGGCGGTAATGCACTTATAAGTCTGCGATCTGCCATAAAACAAGAAGAACACACGTCACGCGCCGGCTGTCGAGGACGCGCTCAGGACAGTTCGGACATTGCGTGAATCAGAGGTAAAAAACGATATAAATACCGTTCAGTTTCTTGCACAGGCCGATCGTTTCGTGTCTTTACACATCAATGTATCGTCACGAGCCGCAGGGTTTAATTTGGTTTTGTTTGTGTATGTTTTTTTTTACTCTCAAAGCCGTGAATCCTGTTCACTTCCATTATATTACTGACAGACTGCAACGGTTTGTGTTAAAAATCTTCGTTTGTGTTCTACTGAAGAAACAAAGTCACCTACATCTTGGATGCCCTGGGGGTAAGCAGATAAACATCACATTTTCATTTTTGGGTGAACTATCCCTTTAAAAGTCATTTTAAAAACAGGATTATTTTTCAATAATAAACTCTTGGTGTCCACTCATTTCATCCTGAGAGCTTCCATATTTGGCAAGATCTGTCTCAATGAAAACAAACGTTTCGGGCACTGCAATTATAGTTCTCTATTTTTACTCCATCATAGCGGTTACATTTATCAGAAGAGACTTGGGTCAAACATTTTTCAAAACCTGTAGAATGGCTCAATTCCACAGAGATTTCAAAAGCAGGAGAGCAGACCTCACTGTATAACTAAACACTGTATAAAATGTCCAAAGGCACATGAGGATGTGTTGTTACCATTATTAAGGGTGTTGTTAGGCACAGAGTGTGTCACATGACCTATGTACATCTCTAATCAGATTTTAGTGATGGAACGGTTTCATTCAAAGGCTTAAATACATTGATATAACATTAAATAGAGGTTGGTGAGGTAATTGTTCCTAATTTTATTTGAGGAAATATGTGTTCCTGAAAACCAGCAATAGCAAAACAGTCCACTTAAGGATTAGATGTTAAACTCTGTTTGCTTTAAATCTCTCACAAAAGAACTCCTGTTAGGAAGTAGAAAGCACATAAGCAGCGCAACAAATGAATAGGATAAAAAAACAGATACATTAATCACTTGAGCAAATGACACTTGAGTAATTAGGCTTCCAAACACACCACAACGTGGTGAGCCGATCATGAAGTGTGCCATTAGCAGTCAGCAATCAACATAACAGTCCAAAAATAACACATGCTTATCATTGCTAATGAAAGTTTCCAGCTCCTCAAATGCACTCTGCTGACGCTCTTATACAGAAAAACATCACGTTTGATGAGTGTGGACTCAAGGTCAGTTGGGTAATGTTTGCTCTCTCTGTGGTCATTCAGCATTATTAGCCACAAAAGGCCGTAGTAACTCCATCACTGACCAGACATCGGCTCAGCAGTAGAGCTTCAGAATAAATCCACTTCCACTGCTGCGTCATTACTCAACAGATACAGCAGAGATACTTGCTATTAAAGCTATTTGATCTACTTGGTCAATGGACTGATTCCCTAAACCATCATTTTAACTAGCGGTAGATTGATATTGGTTGGTATTTTTCACACACACACACACACACACACACACACACACACACACACACACACACACACACACACACACACACCAAAAATGTCAACCAATATCAGTCTACCACTAATTAAACTGATGATTTAGGGGATTTTGAGTAAATACGTTGTAAAAGCTCTCTAGATATATATAAAAAAAAAACATATCAGTCGACCACTATAACTTTGTGCAATATGTACTTGCATGCTTTATTAGATTAGCTATAGGACAAAATTTTAACTTCTAAACTGTTCTAAATAGAATAAAAATGTTTTCATAGAGATGAAATACAGACTGTTCAAAAGTTTGTAGACAGTAAATTTTTTTTTTAAAGTGACATTTACATAGTCACAAAAAAAGGTTTCAAATAAATGCTGTTCTTTTGAACTTTCAATGAGGGAAAAATGTATCACAGTCGTGCTGCTTAAATATTTTTGTGGAAACATTGGTAATAAGAAATATTTTTTGAGCAGCAAATCAGCATATTAGAATGATTTCTGAAGGATCATGTGACACTGAAGACTGGAGTAATGATGCTGAAAATTCAGCGTTCCCATCGCAGAAATAACTTAAATTCATTTTAAAATAGAAAACAGACACCTCATCTATTAAAACAGAAAGTTATTTTAAATTGTAATAATATTTCACAATATTATTCTTTTTAACTGTAGTTTTGATCAAATAAATGCAGCCTTGGTGAGACTTCTTTCAAAAACATTAAAAAAATCTCACAGACTCTAAACTTTTGAATATGCTTAAATTACTATATGCCTGAATATCTTAATGGATCTCAACAACAGTGCTGTAGAGAATATGGCATATCATATTCTGGCAGTGCTGTGTACAGTATGTTCTGGGCATTGAGTCTACTACAAATGAACCAATAAATAATGAGCATTTTAATATTGCCCTTTATAATACAAACACTGCAAACATGTTTTGATTTTGGTTTTCCAGGTCAGTAAGTTCTGTCTGGTTAAAAAGCATTAAAATTTGGTCCTACTGAGCACAACTTAGTCTGCACGCACACCATGTTTTCAACCTTTCCAAGAAAAGGGAAAGCTCAGACAACTGTTCAAAAGTCCAACCATTTTAACCAGCTCAACAGACTCACTTTACTGTACAGGCTGAAGGTCACTATCGCCATTATTGTTGAGTCACAACTCTCATGCAACATCTATTATGGAATGACATGTGCCTAGATAATGACAAATGCATTTATTTTTTTAAAGATAATACTTTTTTTCTGCAAAGATGCAATAAATTAATAAAAACTGAGTAAAGACATGTTATTATGTCACAAATTAATTCTATTTCAAATAAATGCATAATAAATGTTTTTGAACTTTCTATTTATTGAAGAATTCTGAAAAAATGTATCTCAGTTTCCACAAAAATAAACTGTAACAATATTACACAATTACAAAATGGTGCCTTGGTGAGCATAAGAGACTGTTAAAAAAAAAAAAATCTTGCCAACCTCAAACTTTTGAATGGTAGTTTTATATTGACAGCACAAACTTACACAAGATGCCGCACTAAACACTAGTCATGAAATCAAGATCCCTCCGCTAAGAAACGGCACATCACATGATTGGGAACAGAGCACAAAGCGTTTAAGGATATTGGCTTCGTGAAAGCCTCTATTGTGCTGGCAGAGATCAGTGGTCCAGATTTCATTGTTGATTGTCTCATTGAGGGTGGATGTGTCATTATGATATCATCACACACGGCTGCCTGTTGCAATCATTCAGCTCTGGCATTCAGGGGAAAGGTCACCCTTCAGGGCATCCAGTTCTCAGAATCACTGCTAAGATTCCGATTTCTATTATGTATGTTCTTATCAGACGCCTTCTCACCACAGGAACTTACAAGAAAGTAAAAGAGGTAATTACCAAACCGGGAGCTGAGCTCATACAAGCTAAGCTTAAAAAACCAAGTATAGCAAGAAAATGATTATTAGAATACATCACGTTTTTACACATGGTTGCCATAGATGAGTCCCTATTGACGAGCTCTGGGTTAAAGGGATAGTTCACCTAAAAATGATTTCTGTCATAATTTCTGTCTGTTCTTTCTTCAGTGAAACATAAAAAATATTTTGAAGAATGTTTATTTGTCCATAGAATGGAAGCCATTGGTCTCCAAAAAGGTTTAGTTACCAACACTCTTCAAGATATTTTCTTATGTTCGGCAGAAAACAAGTCATACAGGTTTGGAACAACATGAGGGTGAGTAAATGATGACAGAATTTTGATTTCTGAGTGAACTGTCCCTTTAAGAACCAGTGAGACACGCTGTCGATTACCACAGACAATTCTGACTCCCACAGTTTTGTAAACTCTTAAAAAAAAAAAAGGTCTAGATGGGACATAAATATGGTTATTTTACAATTATATGAATCTATTATTAATATAATTATTTTATGTTTAATAAAATCATACAATTGTATTATTTCATATAGTATTGAAGGTACTACTATGGTGGGTTTCAAACAATGCAATGCTTCAACTTCTGTAAGACCACTTATTTGAATTCTTTTGTGCAAAAATAAGTTATTTTGAGATATTAATAGCTGCAAAATTGTCTTTTTAGCATTGGGACTACTGTTATAGGCAGAAAGCGATATAAACAGTTTTTTAAGCTCGAGTTATTCTTTCTGGTAACCTTAACATGTGAAAGTTACCAGGGTTAAAATAAGGATTGATAATATTGCATAGACAAGGTTTGAAATCTATTCTATCTGTCTCCGAAATCAAAATGATTGTTTATCTTGTATTGAACCTAGAATATTCCTGCAAGTCAGTGACAACACTGCAGTTAAAGAGATGATAAGGGTTTCCAATGCGAGATGACATCACTATGACCTCACTGGATGATATCATAGTGATGCTAGCAGCTTCTAAATCTTGAAAAAGGAAATTAAGTTTCACAATAAACCACTTAAGGTGATGTGTGCTATTTTTTTCTGTGTTAATACACTTTCTCTTATCCCAACTTACAATACAGACACTTAAGTAAGCCATTTATAGATTGATTCTTCTGATGATTAAATTAGGTAATGCTAGTGGTGTAGAGAGACACTTTCCCTTTAAAATGCCTGTCAAATTTGCATATTACTCACAATATATGCAGAATATTAAGGGTTACCAATCTTAGAATCAGGAAAAGCTTAGCAAAGTGCTTAAGAGACTAATCGGAGAGACCTTTAAATCTAATATGATTAGAAATTAAACATTCTCAAAACAAAGCCATGCCAAGCACTAATCAATAAATAAGCCTCTCTGTCATTTGAATTTGAACTGACTGAAAATCTGTCACCCACCTCTTCCACCTGTATGCGTTTGGCCATGTCATCCAGCATGGACACATTCATAATATCCAGCGACTCCACTCCGTTCCCGTTCTCCTCTAGCTCCAACTCTAGTGTTTTCTCTGGAACGTCCTGCTCCAGAGGAACCTGCTTAGTGTGTGGGACGGGCTCCACCTCATCCTGCCCCGTATCCACAGTGTCCACCGTTCCCTCCATCACCACTCCGGGGCCATCAGTGTCCGTCTGAGGCGGCTGGGCCTCTGTGTTGTGGGGTTGAGCAGCGTCCATTGGTGACTGGGGCTCTGGTGCGGCATCCCTGTGGGAAGCTGCCACACTCCCGCTCTCCTCTTCTGCTCCTGCATCCTCACAGGCTGTCACTGCCGAGGAGGGGGAGGGGTCATGCTGCTGTTCGCTCTGGAGGGATTGTGGGGCAGTCCTGCTACAATCGTCAGGCTGGATGACTTCCTGTTGTGCCTCACATGTACTCTGATCCTCCATAGCCTTCCCTGTTTTAGATGGAAAGAGAGAAGACAGTTTATATGAAACTAATGAAATATTCTTCTTGGGAATCAAAGGTTCAAAATGGAATACTAGCATACTGCACAGAATGTACTATACACTGCCTGCTTTTTGTTAAAATAATCTGTGAAACATTTCAAACAAAACAATCCATATTGTCACTTTACTATATTTAATTTAGCAAGTGGTGCCCAGTTATCATCTTGCAAATACATGGTTATTTAGCAGTTTTCTTAATGAATAATTGATAGTTCATTTTTTACATAAAATAATACAATTTAAATATATATATATATATATATATATATATATATATTCAATTTAAATAAACGGTTTGTGTACAAATGTCTTAAAGGAAAAGTTTCCCCCACATTTAAATTAAAATCAAGAAAATACTAATATTTTAATAATAATGTTTAATTTATAATGTAAAAAATTTAATTTTAATAAAATGTTTCATATAAAATCACGTTTTTGCTGTTATTAAATATTAAAGGTTTAATATTTGTAATAGAATTACCATATAATTGTGAATATTGTCATTAATATTTTTGTTTATATATATATTAATAAAATATAATATGAAACTAAATTTTTGAAAGAAAAAAGTTTTAATTTACAATACAAATTTTTATTTAGTTTTTATTAACAATACAATTACATTTTTTAAAAAGTTTCATTATTTTTTGAATTATTAGTAATTGTAAATAAATCATTAATTTAACCAAAAATAAATTAATTATGAATAAATAATTTTAATAAATTAAATGTTTGTGTACAAATGTCTTAAAGGAACAATTCCCCCCAACATTTTAGTCTTACTCTCCCTCATGTTGTTCCGATCCTATGACTGTCTTTCTTCCATGAAATGGTGAATTTTCAAAACTTGTGAATTAAAAGGATGGCACTTCTTAAATTTAGAATTTTGCCCAACCCTGACACGTGCTGGAAACTAAATTCTGAACTAAACACCTGATGTCCCTCCCCCCCACCTGCTTGCATTATGTCTGATTTCTTTGTGTTGAATGACCACGTGGCCATTTGACCATCAGACCCTTGTGTACAACAGAACAGATCAATGGCAGACGTCAATCACTATTGATGCATCGTGGTCCTGTTGCCTGAACCGCTGTGGATCAATAATGCTGGACTCCACTGTTGACTGTTCTCTGCTCCCTCGGCGGTCATAAACACACATGCAGGGCGCTGTGCTGCTCAGAGACAGGATCTAAGTGATGACAGCTCACTGTCAGAGCTCAGAGAAAGACACAAAACAAGCAGCACTGGGCCCAATACAGTCTGATGCTCAATTTCTATCTATGCATGTATGTATGTATGTATGTATATATAAAATTTTCTAGCAATTTAATATTTTCTAGCTAAGGATTATTAAAATATAATAATGAAATTTTCAAATAAATACATTTTAAATAAAAAAGATTAAAATAAATAAATAAATAAAACTAAATGAAAGTTAAAGTAATTAAATTAAATATAATAAAATAGACTTTATTTAACATTATTTAACATTAACATTTTTTAATTAAAATGAATAAAACTTAATATAAGTAAATAAAAAATACTGAAATTAATAAAATACAAGGAAAAAATATAATTAGATAAATTATATAATTAGATAACAAAATATATAATTAGATAAATTAATTTATGTAAATTCATTCATTTTAATTTAAATAGAAAGATCAATCAATCAATTTACTTTTGCCAGCCTGGGAATCACATTTTAAAATGTGCTAATATTCCTGATTCCATAACCAATTAACCTGTTCCATGTATATTCTAGATTAAGTTTTTAATGAGTTTTATTTATTTTGAAATTTTATAATATAGGCCATTGTATAATTTAAAGCCATAACATTAAAATAATTGCTATAAATAAATTTATATAATTTGTATTGGCCTAAATATTCTTTCTCAGTGCATGCCTAACAAAAAGTTTATTATCTTTAGAAAGACTTTCTGATAAATTAAAATGCATCAGACAATCAGAAACCACAGTTCAAACCAACTCAAACGCACCTTGACATCTAACAAAGGGCATGATATTATGATGAACGTTTGGATGAGAATTTTAAATGAACAAGCAGTACGAGTGAATGCAATCAATCTCTAACTTATGTGTCTAGGAGGGTAACTGTGCAGGGCGAGATGCAGCTGCTGCAGGAGTCGTGGACGCGCTCCAGAACAGGTGGCAGCGGCAGAGGCTTTTGCAAGAGTGAGAAAATGTGTGTGTGTGTGTGCTGCCATGCCTGGTGTGTAAAAGTGAAACCGGGTCAGGGAACTCAATGCGAGTAAAACTGTGTTCAGGTAACATACCCCAGCACCACATCAGCTGCGAGAGCTAGTGAGAAAGAGAGGCTCATCAATAAGGCATGATCTGGAGGGACAGGAGGGAACTCTAACTCTGTGTGTGTGTGTGTGTGTGTGTGTGTGTGCGCACTTGAAGAAGGGGACAAGGGGTTTGCCTCGTCCACAGATGATGAAAGAATGTTTCTCAAAAGGAACCTGTAGGGTCTAATCTACTAAAAAGACTGTAAACTAGGTGTAAACAACTAATATTAAAAGATCAAATTAAAACTATTTCCATTCTTGATAAATGTTAAGTAGTTTTATTTGCCACGATTCAATGCAAATTTACTGTCAAAACCATATATATTTTTTTTAAATATTATAACTTTCTCCACCTCTGAAACAATTTTCTGATGATAAAACCATAGTGAGAAAACCAGCATTTATTAATAACATCACAGCTTAATTGTTGTTAACTAATGTTTTCATTCAATCAAATCTGCTGATTTGCAAAAAACTTTAAAAAACATATCAGAAGCTGAGTTCAAATATATCAATTAAAAAAAAAACT